CGCCCACGGCTCCCCTAAACCCTGGCATCCCGCAGGGCCACAATCCCCACCTGGCAGGTGGATGCTGAGTCCCGGCGCGACGCCACAGCGAGGAGTAATTTTTTGGCAGCAGGACATTGAGCTGGAAACCTCCCTGGCCAGGCGGCATGAAGGCTACCAGATCAGCCAAACTGCTGCTCTGGAGCTTCCTTCCTAATGCTTCCCCTTCCCAAATTACACCAAAAAAGCACCACTCAGCAGTCACATATGTGGTATTCCTGGCAGCTCTGGCACTCGCGGGATTTTTAGCCTTCTTTTTTAAGAAAAGCAAAAATTGGCCACAGAAAAGGGCAAGTTTTGCCTCCTGCCAGGCTGCAGAGCGAATGCCCGCTGCAGGATGGCAACTTCCCACCTCCCATGCGCAACCACTCCGAGGGGGACGTCTGCATCACCTCAACACAAGACCTCAAAAAGCATTTTCAGGGAAAGCAGGTGGCCTTAACGTCACCTACAAGCATCTGGGATCACACCAGGGCTGGCAACCTCTGACTGCACCCACGGGTATCACCCCAGCCTTCGCCGGGGAAAAGAAGATGGGGCGCTTGGTTTTGGCAGCATCATTCTTCAGGGTGGTGTGAAATCCTTGGCCGGTGAAGGTGCGCAGAGGGGATGTGCCACCAGCCTCCCCACCATACAAAGGCAACTGGCGGCCCTCTCCGCAGCTGCTATAATTAGATGTAAAAGACAGATCAATACCTGCGTTCTGACATTGGAACAGTTTTGCTCTCACGCGAAGCACTGCTACTGGAAGCCACATTAGGGTAAAGCTCCTTTAGGACACTTTTTCAGTGGATGCTGGAAAAAAGGCCAGTTCTGCATGGTGGATGCGACCATCCGCCAGCAAGCCCCAGGTTTAGCCCTAATAGAGAGCGACTACCCACTCACCCCACACGTGGCTCTGCCCAACATATCCATGTGGCCACGAGCAAAGTCCGCATCCACGCGGGGCACAAATCCCACCGAAAAGCCCCAAATGTTGTGGAAGAGTAGAAGGAAGGGAGGAAGGACATGCTCCTGCCCGGCCAGCACAGGCTGCCCTTCGGTGCACGAGGCAGCACTCCTGCCACGATTATTTATCAGCGATGCCCGGCGGGACGATTGAAGGAGACGCGTCCAGAAGGAACCGGAATTGCCGGTTTTCCCGTGTTGCTACCCAAACCCAACAAGCTCTGTTTCCTATCCAGCACAGCTGAGCGGCACCGTGACCCTGCGAGGCCCAAAATCGCCACCTGCCTTCACTGGCGTTCTCCAGGGCCAAACCAGCCCAGGGGCCAGGGAAGGACCAACAACGCAATGGGACAAAGGGGAAAAATATCTGCGATGAATTTGCAGCCTGCAAAATCAGAGAGGTCAGAGGATGCGTGCTGGGAGGGCACTCTTATTTCTGCTAGGGCAGCAGGCGAGCCCACCCCTCTGTCCACCCCTGCCCACGCTGCTGGAGTAAGCCCATAAGCCGTACGCCAGCCCTGTCGGCGCCCCAGCATCGCCCACCCTGCGAGGGCCGCGGGAAGGGCTATGGACACCCCCGTCCAAACTGGACACCGCAGGGCATGAACCGCATGAGGCCATGTTTGGGCTTGCTTTTCACTCTGCCACCCTCTCTGGGGCCGGGCACCCCGACCCGCATGAGGAGACCCCACGTGTGCCCCACAGCCGCGGGGGGGGATCAAGGGGGGGACCCACTCCCGGTGCAAAGCAGCCCCCGGTTTCGCCGGG